AGAAACGCCATAATATTTCAAGGAAAGGTCAGCCTAGCCCCAACTCTCTTTCAAAAGGTTACATCCTTAATAACCTTTTGGGTGTCAAACCACCCCCTCTTCAAGGGTATCCCAACGAATTCCTTCCTAATTCAATGGGAGAATATTCTTTTACACAAACCAAAGAAAAAGAAAATATCAAGTGTCTGGAAACCTCCCCCTCAAGGAGCAATCAAACTTAACTTTGATGGGTGCTCCTAGGGAAACTCCGATCATGCAGGTGCGGGTGGTGTCTTTAAAAGCACCAACACAACATCCTTTTCACCTACTCAAAATACCTTGGCATCCAAGATTCACAGTATGCTGAATCATTGGCCCTCCTTAAAGACCTGCAAAGCTTCGATCAATCTTGGGGACAAAACCTAATATTGGAGGGTGATGCCTGAAATATCATTACTTGGGCCTCTAGGATAGGCACTCCTCACTGGTATCTTGCACCTCTTTATGGCGAGACTGTACACCCTAGCAGGGATATGCCCGTCTCATGGATGCATACATCGAGGATGTCAAACGAGCTCACAGATCTACTGGCGAAGGACGGAGCCAAAGCCCATGAAGAAGACTAGGCCCCTAACTTTTTTTGCATTGGGCTGGTCACAAAGAATCCTCCTAGGAGAACACTTGTCTTTGAACAGGCAATTTATTTTTTGTGCTTCTTTGTAAACTAATTGTATACTTTGTAAAGGGACTTACTTATAACTCCATTTTGTATAGGGTTTGTAGACCTATTCTTTTTTGCCGAGAGTCCCGGCTAGTAGGGCACTCTCCGACTAACCCTTACTTGTACCTTCTCTCCTACAGCAATACAAAAGTTGACATTTCAAAAAAAAAAAACGACTAGAACCATGAAGGGAAAGAAGAAATAGGGTTTAGATTTGAGAGGATTTATAGTGAAAGAAAGATAGGATTTAGATATTAAAAGAGAAAAGGCCATAATCAAGAAAGGAAAGAAATAGTTAAATGTCACCTTTTGATGAAAGCCTCCTAGACCAATCTTCAGCCAACAAGCTCTGATACCATAAAAAATGAAGATGGAGATTATGGAAAAGTGTAGGAGAGGAGAGGGATTAGCAATAGATTGCCCAAGACAAAGATTAACCATTGTGTTCTTCGATGCCTTTATGTTAGCAAGACAAATAATGCCCAAGGCATTAGTATAAATAAATAAATAAAGCCAATATAAATGTCTTTTGCACCAGTATGTCCCTGCACGTCATATCCTTAATAGGACAGACCAACAAAAAATGTACTAGACTAAACCAATGCCAAATAGTTGCCAATATTGTTGAAAAAAAACATTTAAATCTCCTTCACTAGTATTGAGTTAACCCTTGAATTGGCCTTGTAAGAACTATCCCATTAATCTTGCATCATAAACTAAAGTCTTCATGTCTTGAAGATGCAATATAGCACGTAATAGCTCCATGGGGAGTTCCTCCCTTACAAGTTGCGATGTTCTAAAAAATGGTTCAATGAAGCGGATTGTCCACCTAAAGATCCGGTAAGGTTTGGTCAGATCGTTGATGCAGATCATCGAATCAGCTATCCAGTAGAGTTGAGAAAAGCAAAAATAAACTAAATGTTATATAAATTAATGTGTCAATATAATATCAAATACTCGACGCAGCAAAGTCGGTAAGGATCGTGGCTACTAACGTTGAGGTTTAGGGTTCATACCCCTACTTTGGCTCTCCCTTTTAATGTAGTAATAAAATGAACCCCCAAACTTTCCTAGAGATCCTTTTCCTCAGTCCTTTCCCAATTCAAAAAATTCATAAGGTTCCATCCTAGAGAGGGATCTAGAGTGAGATTCTGGTCTGATTTGTGGATAGGCCTCTCCTCTAAGAGAGGTGTTCCCTACCCTCTACTCTCTGGCTCAAAACAAAGAATCCTCTCTTGCCGAGGAAATGGTCCTCACAGAGGGACGTAGAGTATGGAACCCTTCCTTCCGAAGGAATCTTACTGATGAGGAAACCTACCACTTCCAGTCACTCTCGACCTCCCTCCACTCCATTTTCACCTCGCCTCAGGGAAGTGATGCTATCATCTGGACTCTAGCTCCCTCTGGTATCTTTTCGATAACATCTTTCTACAAAAGCTTAACTCTACCCCCAACTTTTCCGCCAAATCCAACAGCAATTCAATCCAAAGTATGGGCCACCATGGCTCCACCAAAAGTCCAAACTTTCAACTGGCTTGCTTGCTTACATAGAGCTCTTACAGTAGACCAACTACAAAAGAGAGGAATCCTGATCCCCAATAGGTGTGCCTTATGCCTGTGTGAGGAGGAAACGAACCAACATTTGTTCATTCACTGTGACTATACTTTTGACCTTTGGGGCCAAGTGTTGCAACTTTTTGGCATCAAATGGGTCACCCCTCCTTCAGTCAAGGCTTTGATCTCCTATGATCTAGACTCATGTTGGCCGAAGACAGGAAGGTTGTTATGGAAGGCAACAGTTGCTGCAACCATATGGTCAATTTGGTTGGAAAGAAACTCTAGAATTTTCAAAGAAACAAAACTTCACACACCAGCTCTATTACACGAGACAATTTCTCTAGTTGCCTTTTGGGCTTCTAACCACAAGGTTTTTTCAGGGATCCCTGAAAGTTTTTTCCTCACCCATTGGATAAATGTCTTTCATCACCAACCGAGATTGGTAACCAGACCTTATAACTGGCAACCACCACCCCAAGGATATATCAAACTAAACTTCGACGGGTGCTCCCTAGGGAACCCTGGCGCAGTAGGGGCTGGGGGGGTCTTTCGCGACCACCAAAGCAATGTCCTCCTGGCGATTTCAGAATACATAGGCAGAAAGGATTCCCTTCATGTCGAAGCTCTTTCCCTTTTAATAGGCATAAAACTTTTCAATCCTTCTTGGGGCCTACCCCTGATAGTGGAAGGAGACTCAAAAAATGTTATTTCCTGGGCAAGGACAACGAGCTCACCACCGTGGTACCTAGCCTCAATTTTTGACGAAATTGATCATATAGTCAGGGATATGGACGTCTCCTGGAGGCATATATGGAGGACGTCCAAAGACAACCCAGATCACTTGGCGAAAGAGGGAGCTCGAAGTCAAGGCCAAGGACAAGCGCAACCTGGGTCCGACTCCTTTTTTGCTCAGGATCAGTGGCACACGACTTAATATGGCGCGGTTTTTGGTTTTTTGTCTCGCTGTGTTTTTGTAAAAGCTTCATGTAAATCGATGTAACTGGGTAACTCTATAAGCCCACTTTGTACATGTTAGGTTAGCACATTTTTTACTGAGTCACCCTTTGTTAGGGTGATTTTGGACTCTCACTTACATGTAATACTCTCCAATGTAATACTCCTCCAGCAATACAACACATATATAAAAACAAAAAAACAAAATTAATGCATTTTAACCACATGAATGCTTAGAGTGGGGTTTGAACTTACAACCAAGTGCAAAGACCCCAAGCATACTACCCATAAAGGCTATTTAGACTACATTTCATATGTTTCCGCTATTATATACTAAATTATACAGAATTGCCCAATCTGAACCTCGATGCAGATCGGGAAGCAGTGGAACTACAGCAGTTCCTTAGTTAAACCAGACACCAAAGTTGTCCTTAGGAAACACAACTTATATCTCCTAAACAAAATCATAAGTATGAGATAACTTGGTTCACTCATGAATGAAAACTGTCCAAATCTAGAGATACATTTCCTTCACTACATTAGCCTCAATGTGTCAATTGACATCAATCCCCATGTATGCACATTTTTCGAATAAATGACAAGCAAAATCCAATACACTAATACGACTCAGGAAGATGCCCCAAAAAAAAGATAAGTAACCTCGTTGAATGTATTCTAAGTTGAGTTAGTATCTGTACACAAATCAAGAGGGTGTAGTTTCCGAGGGCTAAAATGGTGTTTTATAGATTTCTCTTAGCCCTTATGGGAATCTTGGAACCACGTACAGGCATATCTCATTCTATACCTTTTATGGAATATTTCAGAACCCATTAAAATGAAACCGCTCAAGTTCATCTATGATGGCTAAAATACCATGTTACAATGAGCAAGGCCATAGAAGAACAATAGGAATGAGGAGAGATGCAAGTAACATTTTCAAGAAGAATGGAGCCTAAAATGCCAATTGGCAATTACAGAATGATATAATTGACCATATGTGTATTACAGGTATCCATTAAAATAAGGTGCGGTTTGTATAGAGCCTAAGCTCTAAACAATCAAATTAGAACCTACCTTCAAATAGTGCCGAGAAATGTAGTTTCAATATTGGAAATCTTTGTGATAGCCTTAAAATATATTTTTATATTTATTTATAAAATTTAAAGCTTAAAAAATAGTGTAGATCGACAGATCTATGAAAACTTGAAAATTGACGATCCAAAAATGCGTTACAAAATACACTATTTCCAAAACTTGAAATCCATTTTTTTACTCATGTCCATACTTCTTGATGTCAAGATGATCAATTTGAAGATATTTGGGCATCAAAACAACCTCTTCTAGTGAAATTTTTGAGGTAAGCTCAAAATTGATTGTTTAGAGCCTCGGCTCTATATAAACTTTTCCCTTAAAATAAAAACCATACATATGCATGTTACAGAATTCATTTTTCTAAAAATGATATAGAGTGGCTTCTTCGTTGTTGGATAATGTGCATTTCAACATGCTATGTTTTTTCTAGTTAACAACACATAACAAGGAATGTTAGAAAAATTTTCTTCATAAAATACACAAAGCTTCAAAACCAACAAGCAGAAAAAACCAAGTCATCTTTTGTAGTTTTCTCTTAATGCTTGGAAATACTTTCTGTGAGACAAACATCAAACTTTATAAAGGAATATAATCCAAAAATATATTAAAGACCACTTGAGAATTTGTATCCTTTGCAGCACCATAGTTTTGAAAATGAAAAGATCAATCTCTAGAAGTGCCACTAAATCTTTATTACCTTAAACATTAAACCACGTTTTCCAGATTCAATATGGTCACCATAGCGAATGCCAACAAAATGTGAAACTTCATATTCACCCGATGGAATCTTAGAGTCCTCCTTTGGGTTCCCATCAGATTGCAAACCCCTTGAAGGTGCTTTTTCCACTCCTGAGGGGCAATATTGCTTGCATAGTTTCTCCCATGCCTTAAGTAACTCAAAAAATTCTTCCGCTGACTCATTTCTGACCTAAGAAATCGACAACTATAAACTCAATATCATTGGGAAAGAATGCATTTGCACTCTAACTTGCCAATTTAAGAACAGCCAGCCAATTAACGCGTGTGTACCTCTGTTTCTGGGTGATTTAGTTTCAGGCTTTGACAAGCAGATTCATTCAGATCAAGAGCCCATCTCTACATAATGGAAATTGAAAAGTTACATAGAACTAAAGTTACATAAAACTAGTACAGAATCTTATTGCAATTTCTGAATATCAATAAGGAGAAATTAAAATATTAAAAAGGGAGCAAATGTTGCTAAAGAGAAACTTACAGTCACAAGATTCACACCGGAAAGTTTAGCACCAAGGGATAATCCAGTGGACATTCCACCACAACCACAAAATAAATCCAGTAGTGTTAGCTCCGTTCTTTCTGGTTCATTACTCCTAGATGCCTTCCTTGTACTAGACTTACTCGCTATATCACTAACACAGCCAGTTTCAGTACAAACTGATGACAATGAATCACTATTCCCATTTGAAGTCTCTGAAGTCATTTCAAAAAACCTGAATGAAGTCATGACGATGAAAAGACAAGAATACTCAAACATATTCGTATAGATATAACAAGCCATGACAAATCAGGAAATATTAGGGTAAACATTGATCAGGATCCCTGAGTAGACATTTACATGAATTAAACTAGGGATCAGCAACCTAAAAGCTATCAAGGATAACTGAGAAGGTAAATAAACAAGGACATGTATATTTTTTCTTTTAAGAAAAATGATGCAGAATAGTGATGGAAACAAAGTTGCCAAATTGTAGAAATTTTAAGAAATAAACACAACCCTAATCAGAATTTGTAGGGAATGAAATCCTTGGAAAAAAAAAAAAAAGCAAAACACTAATCTAGAATATGCCCTTTCATACGTATAGGCAAGCAGAGAGAATTTGTTCCCTGCTGTCAAGACTTGAAAATCATCATTTCCACACCAATAGGTGATCTCTAAGGTGTAAGGTCAATCGTCCTCCAATACCAAAGAAGGCAACTTTTGTTCTAGTGCTCTAACAGGGCAGTACCATTTTGTTTGTGGTTCCCTTTGGGCCTTTATGACTTCTTAACTCTCGTGCAACCAGTCATATGACAGGGAATGTAACGTTACAATCCTCGTAAAGGTTTTCTGGAAGGAACCTAGTCCTCTACACTGTCATCAGTTCTAAACTCAGTATTTGCAGGGTAAGCTCAATTACTATGCCTTTACTTGAAGTGTCCATATTGTTTGTTCCCAGTTCACGAAGAATATTAATTTTGTTTATCAATTAGTTTATTGAAATCACTAGTTTGTTTATTTGTGATGACTACTTGATGTTCAAAATCTTGATAAGAAACCTGAATAGGAGATTTTGTAAGTGGATTGCTTTCTCGAGCCTGGTACTCGATGTTTGTCAGCATGTAATACATGTCATAGATGTCTAGTATTTGGGGCCAAAACTCCAGTATGGCCCCCATATATTCATGCAAGTAATTTTCTACGAAAAGTTTGAACTTTTAGCATTAGTTATTTCTCATTCATTTATGTATAAATAAAATTACATTTAAAAAACTGATCACGATGCAAAATTAATGTACAAATATGTCAATAATCAGCAAGAGAAGACCGCTCATAGAGCCATCAAGGTGTGGGGCAACTAAAATTATGGATATATAGATACCTTTCTCTACCTAATAGAATTTGTCAGAATATTACCTTCCCGCCAATTGTGTGCAAATCACACAAGGATCTTGCAACACTTGAAGATCATCATCATTATCATCGTAGCCTTATCGCAACTATTTGGGGTAGGCATCTCGCAGCTCTAGAAGATCTCATCAAATATATTGGCTACTCTGGACATCATGTGGCTTCTCTACTCACCCATGAAATACAAAATTGCATGAGGCGCCATCAATAATGACATGGTTCCAATTTGATGCAAGTCCAGCAACAATTGTGAGGCTTGACCTCATAGGATTCACAAAATTTGCCAAACAGAGAAAAGTGGACAGCATTTCACTTAAGGGAAAGCAAAAGACAACCCTTTCTCCAACGGGCCCATGGTTTCCTTTGGAGTAGCCATCAGATCTTAACAACTTCTGCAGGCAGTGTTACCCCGGTAGTCCAGCATTCAACTCGTGTCATATGTCGACAGTTCAAAGCTCTCAACAACTCCAGATCCCGATAATATACAGTTTTCTTAAGGCTGGGATCGAACTCAAGACCTCTTATATAGATGTTAAAGGCTATATCACTCCACCAATTCTAGTTAGTGAATAAATATGAAAATAAAATTTTGTATATCTACTTCAAAAATGAATTATTTTATTCACTAATAATAAGCGTACAAAGGTGTCTAGCTGTAACCGCTTTTAAGCTGAAGTAATAGAAACCTTCAACACATACTGGACAGTGACACTCGTGACAGTGTCCATGTAACACTACATGGACGTAGTTTATGCAAGTTGTTTGGGTGCATTTCAAGGGGTGACTCCTCACAATGGACATCAAATGCCAGTAAACATCTGCCCCTAAAAAGCCCCAAAATCCTTTCTTAAGGCCTGCTAGATTTAGATTAACGTAGTTTTGACTCTTCCCTTGAGTTAAGTCAATGTAGAATCCCTCGAAGTTTTGCCTATTCCATTCAGTCGATACCAACTAAATTGTTACTGCAACACTAACTCACCAAGAAACAAGGCCATATTTAGGGGCTGACATGGAATATCATTGTTGTAGTACAGAGTTTGTCAAGGATGGACAGATAAAAAGGGTCATTTGATTTATGCCTACTAGAAATGGACGCATGTGATTAGGACTCTATTATGGACTTGTGGCTCCTTGAGAAGAATACACCTATGGACCAATATTATGCTTTGGAGCACTTCTTGCAGTCTTAGGGCTAGGACTTTACTCATGTTCTCAGGTGTCACTTTTGTATATGATTTTATGGGTATTGTTGATTAGGCTGATCGGCCAAAAGTCCTCATTTTTTTTTATTGACCTATTAGAGGAAGGTTATGAAAGTGGAAATCATCCGCTGGTACAGTACTACTTGAGAGTGGAATTCCAAGAGCAATGTCATGAACTTATCCTCGAGCATATCCAGTGCTCAAAAAGTCAGATGTGTCTGCAAAGGCGGTTTAGGGGCCTGGCCGCCTTGGCCAGGCGCACGACAAACAAGGACAGGTTAGGCCCACAAGGAGTTCTTAAGCAAGGGTTGAGTGCCTACTTTCTTCCTTGGCTTGCCCGCATCAAGGCGCAACCTAGATGCAAGATGCCTAGGAAGCCCGCTTAGGTGTTTTGGCCTTCCGGCACTGAGATGGATGGGCGGCCGAATTTCGAACATTGAGCACATCCAAGACATCTTGAAGGAATGTAGGTGGATAACCATCAAATCTCTATGCTCTATCTCTCCAATTCAAAGACTACCTATTTCCTCGTCTGCTTCGAAGGATCATTCATCCATGTATGCTCTCTCTCCACACACACATTCATATATGTATATGTATATATATATATATATATATATATATATATATATACATGTACGTCTATGGATATGCATATGTATGTGTATATATATATATATGTCGATATGTATGTATGTATATGATTGATTTATATAACAGAAGGTAAAGTCACACCTCAATACCCCATCAAGAAACACAGTTCCAGCATAGCAAATCCCAATGATAGCTAAAAAGTATATTTGCCTCTAATCATGAAATTTGGAGGTCGAAAAATGGTGTAAATCTTACAGATCTATGGAAACTTGAAAATGGAAATGAAAAAGGCTTAGCGAGGTAGGGAGACAAGGTGAGGAGGAGAAATCGAGGGGGGGAGAGGGGGACATGGGGGGAGGGGGGGGGGGGGGAAGGCCCTCTATAAGTGGGGAGAACATGAGCTCAAGGGTGTGTTTGTTGGGAAAAACGTTTCGCTCCAAGAGCCAAACCTTCGCCCACTTTGTAGTGTTTCTATATTGATGAGTTAACTAGGCATATATAAGATGAGGTACTGTGGTATATGTTGTTCGCGAATGACATAGCTTTGATTGATGCGATTAGAGGCAGCATCAACCCAAAGTTAGAACTTTGGAGGGATGCTCTAGAATCTAAAGGTTTTTTTTAAAAATTAGTCGAGCTAAGATAGAAATATATAGAATGCAAATTTAGTAATAATAGGAGTAGAAACAAAGAAGTAGTTAAGATTGATGGCCAAGAATACCTAAAATAGGTTATTAACGAAACCTTGGGTTGCTAATCCAAGAGAATTGACAGATTGAGGAAGATGTCGTACATAAAATTAGAGCTATATGGGCGAAGTGGAGATGTGCATCCGATTTTTATGTGATTGCCACATACCAATAAAACTGAAGGAGAAGTTCTACATTACAATTGTAAGACCAGCCATGTTTTATAGTACAGAATGTTGGCGGATAAGAAACAACATATCCATAGAATGAGCATAACTGAGATGAGGGTCTTGAGATGGATGAGTGTCAAGACAAGAAATGATAGAATTTGGAATGAATATATTCGAGGGAACTTAGGTCAGTTAGGTGTGGCTTCAAAATGCGATAAGATAAGGGAAAGTAGACTTAAGCCGTTTGGCCATGTGCAACGTACACTTGATACAACACCGGTTAGGAGAAGCAATTTGGTCTAAGTGGAAGGCTCTAAAAGGGAAGAGGGAAGCCCAAAAGGACATGGATGAAAGTGGTGAATGGTGACATATAGTCTTACTGAGGGTACAGCCTAGATAGAGTAGAATGGCGTAACGAAATTCAAGTAACAGACCCAAATAATTGGGATAAGGCTCGAATGATGATGAAATAAGTAAGGTTTTACTTCCATCAAAACTTTACGAGCATTTGTCTCTCATACACCCAATAGAAAGACCCATCTTGCACCAGCTTCTTTGTCTTAGCTTCATCATCCTCATCCTCACTCTATCTCTCTTCCCCTCTCTGGTCTCCATTTTCTTCTCTATCGAAGGATCAACCACTACCACTTCTCTCTCTCAAAACTCTTCCTCATAACTCTTTCACAATAGTCCTCTCTCTCTCTCTCTCATATATATATATATATATATATCATGCCACAAATATTCTTGTGGGCATTGTCCCTATGATGCCTTGTACAATATACATACACTAGCCATTTTTCTTATCACTTGGTGCCAGAAGGTTCTAGAGTAATCTAGTAAACTCATGAGAGTTCAAATGGGTTTCTAGATGTATCCTAAGGGAAGGGTAGTATGGAATGCTCTAGAACATTGTAGAGGCTAGAAGGTTCCTAGCCGTCGGATGTTTGCCAAGTGTAATAATCTTGACCGTTGGTTGTAAGGCCTAGTGCCTATATAAGGGGGAGGACCCTCATTTGTAACACACATCAGAAGAGTGAGGACCTTAGACCTTGTAAGCTCTTGAGCATTAGTGAAATACAAAACTCTTCCTATTCTATTGTGTCCCTCTTGTGTCTGTGTGTGGCTGCTCTCTTTTGTGTGTGCA